CCATCATCCCTCTGCGGTGGGGCTGGTGGGGACGGGGGCTGACCGTGGGCTCGTGTCCCTTGTTGCCACCAGCAGGACGGGGACGCTGCTGAAGAGGCCGGGCCGAGGAGCGGACAGCGCGGCCCCGGTGGCCGGGGACGGGGGGCTGCCCGGCCCCGGTGGGGTGCAGCTCCCGGGGGGAGAAGCGGATCGGGCGCAGAACGTCTGGCAGTGGATGCTGGAGAGCGAGAGACAAAATAAGCACAAGACCCATAGGTAAATACGCAGCTGTCTACAGCAATATCGCTCCCGGTAAATATTTATATATTACATGGGCTGTCTATTTTTACAATCGCTAAAAACAAATGAGACTCTTTGCTCCTCCGGTTTAATATAAAAGCTGTTCCGCAGAACCAGAAAAACCACAAAAATGTCATGTTTTTGGCAATAAACCTCCTTTCATGTTATGACAGACTTTTGAGAGGGAGCGAGCAGAATAGGAGCTGCTATTAAAGTCATATTTTCCAGCTTTTCTAACCCGACTTCTTCCCTTCCCCAAGCACACAAAGCACAAAGAAGGCCTACGGCTCCGACTGCGCCAAGGGGGCCCCCGGCCGCCACCACCCGTGGGGGACAGGCAGCCACCCCCGCGGGGCACAGCCCGCGCACCCCTTCGTGCAGGACCCCGCCATGCCCCCGCTGACACCACCCAACACCCTGGCACAGCTGGAGGAAGCGTGTCGCCGCCTGGCCGAGGTCTCCAAGCCGCAGAAGCCACGGTAACGTCCCGCCAAGGGGACCAACGGGGCTGGGGGAGGTTTGCTGGGGGTGGACGTGGATGTGTCCTGCCCGTCCAGGCAGGGGGACAGCCATGGGGACGTGTGACAGCCTCCCTGTCCCAGCCCCGCCATGCTCCGGCACAAACAGTCGGAATCCAAGGCTATTACTTCCACTCTTTTGATGGCTGTAATTTGCCTGCTTTTCCTCTGGGACAGGCTCCAGCTACGTAGCAAGTGGGGAATTGGACTGGTTATCGTTCATTTGGGTATGGAAGGATAAATTAGCCCACAGCATTCTTAATTCTTCCTTTGATTGTTTACAACATGTGAGGCTTGATGCAAAGAGCGAACTTAATGACCCACAGGAGACATCAATTAAGACGAATTGTATTTCAACAATATTTTTCTTAAAGTTGTTCTTTCTCTTTTTTTTTATTTTTTTTTTTTTCCCCCTCCTCTCCTTCTTCCCCACTTGCTTTCCCCCTCCCCACTTCAGATGTTCAACCTCAAATCAGCAGAGGGACCGAAACCACTCCGCTGCCATTCAGGGGGGAAGCTCCCCTTTCTGCAATGCAAGTCTAACGACAGAAGAGTGAGTATTGCACATGCAGAAAAGGATTGGGAAATAAATATATATATATATATATATCTCATAATTATATTTTCATTAAATGGATTGCACTTTGAAAGGAGAGGAAATTCTTATATCTGAAATTTCATCTTTCAAACATCCTTCTTAAAGAAAGAACAAAACATTTTCAAATCTTGTCTCTGGCTCTTTTTAACTTGCATTCCTGTAAAGTGGACAAAGATTGGATTAGTCTAATTACAGGATGGTTCTTTTAACAAGAAATCTGCTACAGAGAGGTCTAAAATGGCCTAAATAATTAAAGTTTTCTTTCTTACCCTCTTCATCTTAAGCAATGAGTAATGTTTGAAGTCCAGACTGAGCCACCTGACTAGAGCCTTTCATTTTTAATTGGTTGACCTTAAGTCCACCAGCTGTCTTTGCTAGCAGCTTTTTTTCTGAAACCACTCTACAAAGACTTAGAACAAATTAGGAAGACTAAATTACTGCGGACTAACACTTTGTGACCTTTTGACATGCCAAGTGTACATTGCCTCAGAAGCAGTTGTAGATTTGGCTGCATGGTATTCACTAGAGTGTTGCCATTTTGCTGGGTAATATTGTTTTAATTATTCTTTAAGAAGCGTTGCTTGGGTGCAAATGGACAGAATCCAGTTAATTTTATCCTCACTGGGAAAAACAAGGTTACCTGGGTGCTTGAGGTGAAGCATCTGGCAGAGGGTTTTGCTTTGGGGCCTGGTGGTTGCAGGGTTTGGGGATGAGGAGGAAGCTTTTAAAATCCTGGGGGTGCAGTCCTGGGGTTTGCTGGGGAGGGTGAGCCCATCCCTCAGCTCCCCTCTGCCATGATCCCAAGGGGAGGTGGCTTCAAGCTGAAGGAGGGTGGATTTAGGTTGGATATTAGGAAGGAATTGTTCCCTGTGAGGGTGGGCAGGCCCTGGCACAGATGCCCAGAGCAGCTGGGGCTGCCCCTGGATCCCTGGAAGTGTCCCCAGGCCAGGCTGGACAGGGCTTGGAGCAGCCTGGGAACAGGGGAAGGTGTCCCTGCACTGGCAGAGGGTTGAAACTGGGTGATCTTTAAGGTCCCTTCCAACCCCAACCATTCCATGATTCCCACTGTAGAAATCCAGCAAAAGGCTGTGCAAACACATCCCAATAAATTCCCAGGCAGCACAGGAATATCTGATTTTCAGGTCACACCCAGGATATTTCTGACAGCATTCACCAGCTCCACTGCTGGTTGGAGTGAGGTGAAACAGCCTGTTCTCAGATGGAAAAATAGAGGGTTTTGTGTGTGCTTTCTGTTTTGCAGTCACAAAGAGCCAAAGAAACTGCCAGTTGTTCACACCTCTCAGTCTGGTGAGCTGGTTGTCACCTATTTTTTTTGCGGAGAAGAAATTCCCTACAGGAGGATGTTAAAGGCCCAGAGCCTGACACTTGGGCACTTTAAAGAACAGCTGAGCAAAAAGGGAAATTACAGGTAAGAATGTGTGATTTGGTTGTTCCTTAGTGTGTTACAGCAAGTCAAAAGAATTAGCAGATATTTTGCAGAGCTGCTGCAGTGACACTTTGGATTTTCAGAGGCTGTGGATCTTCTTAGTCTCTCCCACTCAAAGCAGGAGCAACATGGAGATGGAGAGAGGTGCCTTGGCTGCAGGGCCACCCCTCCCTTCCTCCCCAACCTTTTCCCAGTTGCATTAGGAGCTGTGCTCCAGCCCTTGTCCAAAGGGCTTCGATAGTCTGGGATGGCTTTGTGGCAAAGGCCTGGAGCAGTGGGGTTCAGATTCCAAACTGGGGTCAGTGTTCACCTGGGTGCTGGCCTCCTGCTTTGCCTGCTGTTTAATAATTTAATTTTTGATTATTCTTTTGCAATAGTGTGGCCATAAGTGGGGTCAGTGAGGGGCTGGGATGGTGCTGCTGAGGGGCATGGAGATGGAGCTCACTCCCTTTTCATTAGAAGGGAAAAAAAACCTCTGCCCTGCAGGGAGAGCTCCACCAACAATACCCAATTCCTCCTCAGAAACTCCAACAAACCCTGCTGGTCTGGTTTCTAGCTCCCATCTCCCAGTTTAACCAGTTTGCTGCTGCCTCTGCTCAGCTGTGGCAGTTCCTTCACCTTGGCTCTTTTTGGCTGCCCTTTCCCAGTGGATCTGGGCACTCTTGGGATTCTCTGTTGGCCGCTGCTCCTGCAGGGTGAGCAGGAGAGGGACATTCCAGCTGGTGTTTTTAACCTGCAAATGGTCATTTTGGGTTTGGTACAAGGAATTCCAGCTCCCTGCCCCATCACTGGCCTCTCTCAAGGTGTGGAAAGCCCAGGCCAGGGCTAGGTGGCCCTGGGCACTCTCAGGCTGGGGGATGCCAAGCTGGGATCTCTCCATGGCTCTTGCACAGTGGGGCTGAAATATTCCAGTTCCTCTCCAAACCATCTTTGGAGCCCACCCAGCTGCCATTGGATGGCACCAACCTGCAAGTGCACCCAACCTGGACACCCTGCAGGGTAGTCCCTGGGCTTCTGGCATCCTTGTGCCATTTTCCAGCCCCTAAAGCCTGTCCCACGGTGCTCCTCATTTGCAGGCAGTGCCTCACCACTGCTCTGCCACTGCTCAGTGGCTGTGTAGTTCCATCCTCCCCCAAAAAAACCCAACTTTTTTTAATGTTTGTTGGTTTTCTGTGACATTTTTCATGTGATGCCCAAGTGCAGGACTAGGCTTCTAAAACCTCTGTGGCCCAAAAGCCCCTCCAGGTGCAATTATTTGTGCCTTGTCGGACTGTAATTACTTTAGAAAATGTTTTTAAGTGACTGACAAGGATGAAACAACGTTTTGCTTAGATCTCACCCCTTTACACCTGGGTAAAGACAATACAGAAATTTATAAAAGGAACTTGGGTACGTGCCCAGTATTTTATCTTGCACAGACACAAGGTGAAACTAATTACACAAATGTGTGTACCTCCAGGGAATCATTTTGATCTAAGCTTTGACTTTTGGCTGGACTTTGAGTGAAACTGCGGGTGACCTTCAGGGGAGAGGTCCGCAGTGCCCGGAGTAGCGTGTGTGTTACGGGCAGGCACTAACTAGGCTGCTTTGGTCACATCTGGCATTGATTTCTTTTTAAGGCACATTTAATAAGCATGTCTTTGAAGCCCTTGCCTTTCATTTAATGCACAAAGACATGCAGAAATGCTCCACTCTCCAAATTCTTTATTGATTGGATCAGTTTGCGAGGCGGGTACCTCGGGCTCCCGCGATGCCAGAGCCCCGCCGGGGAAGCGCTGCCTTGGCTTCCCCACAACCCCCACCCCCCCAAAAAAAAATTAAAAAAAGAGAATTAAGAAGTGATTTAATACTGATGGCGTTAACAAAAAACAAACATACATGCACAGAAAAAAGTGGGTGGTGTCGGGTAATCTGGGGATGGCAGCGGTTCAGAACGGAGCTGCAAGGCCAGGCCCGTGTGCCTCGATTGGTGCCAGATGTCCCAAAAAATAAAATTTAAAAAAAAAAAAAGAAAAAAAAAAAATGGAGCAAAGCTTGCCACATAAAATATGTTTCAATGGAAAGCCCATTGCTGAGCAAATAAGAGCAGAGTGACTTGTTTAAAGATGTTGTGCGGATGGATTTTTTTTTTTTTTTCCCTTTTGCTTTGCCTCCTCCTTTTCTTATTTTTCCTCGTTTCTCTGTGAAATAAGGTTGTAATTATGTAAAAGGTCATAGCATGTTTTCTCAAATAAAAATTTTGTAAACACAGCCAGGGCTTCAGCTTGGGGAGGAAGTTCTTGGGAAGAGCGGCTGTTATCTGGACAGGGGAGAGGGAAGGGAAAGTTCTTTGTAATTCATTCAAACTTTCCTTGGGTTTCTTGGATTTATTTCAAGGCTGCTGTCCTGGGGAATTGTGGCCTTGACCTGCAGCATGGAAGTTGGTGGGAGCTGGGCCATTGACTTCCCTGAGTGCAGGCTCTGAAGGACTCAAATAATATGTTTTTCCTCACTGAGCCATTAAAGATGCAACATGTGTCAATTCATCGAATTGGAATTGGCTTGGAATGACTTCACAAAAATACATCCTAACTGTACCTGGGCTAATCAGAGGTGGTTTCATGTCTTTGACTGAAATGAGGGCATCTTTTATCCCCCTACCAAAATAATTTTGATGTCCCTGAAAATAAAGAGATTTGCAGGGCGATCTGGTTATTTCAGAAGTGCCTCATAAAACAAGTCACTAAATAAAAATATCAGATTCCAAGGCTCTGCTGTGGCTCTTCCAGTTTTAGCAGTAAAAGTGAGCTTCATCTGATGTCCTTTGGCATCCTAAAGAAAATCATAATTACAAACCCCTTTCTCCCTGACAAACATCTGCCAACCCAAGTTGACTGCAAACTACAGGGGAGGGGTTAATTTTTTTTTAAAAAAATATATATATTTTTTTATAGATACATACATGTTTTTCTTTGTAATCCATCTGCTGGAATATTTTCCATCCCTGGCAATCAGATGGCAAAGGCCTTTTCCAAGGGAAAGCAGGCATCTCCAAGGAGGTGTTGGGCGGCAGACGGACAGACTCCCTAAATGCTACCCCTCTGAATGGAAGCCCTTCATTTGTGCATATGCAATTAAGCAGCCTTAGAAGGAAGAAAGCTCCAAATGGGATAAAAGGAACCTTTAATCAAGAAGCTGAACGGTCTAATTCAGGATAATAGAGGGGTCCTTACTGTTTGACACAGGAGGGGTGGGGGTGCTTTTTGTCTCTGCGAGCGTTGGCTTCATGATCTAACGACCCGGAGCAAAAGAGCAGGAATGCAGGACACTGCTACTTGACCTCCCCGTGTCACGGCCCAGGGGCTGGACCAGACTCTCTCAGAATGCTCCTGAGCCTCGGGAAGCCAGGCAGGAGTTTGTGTCCCTTAGCTTGGAGCCGGGAGTGGGGCTGTTCCAAGTCCGGGATGTTTTTTCCAGCGGGAACACCGCAGAGTTTCAGCTCCTGCGTTGCAGGAAACTGGGATGGTTTGCTTTTCATCCATCCTTTTAATAACAGTTGCTAATTTTAATGTTGGGCTTCAGCTTTGAAACAAGAAAACACATGAAAGAAAGAAGGTGGGGAGAGAGGGGAACCTTAAGAATGCTTGGCTTTGAAATCCTATTTATTTATTTTTAAATGAGATATTTGACCAGAAATCACCGCGCTTTCTAATTTTCTTTATGGCTGGGGATACCCACTGCCAGAGTGTGTAATCTACTCACTGGACAGGCTGTTGTCACCCCTGAGGAGCATTCACAGCCCTGCTCCTTCCATCCCACCACATCCCTGGGCATGCTTTCAAGTCACCAGACCCGAACACCCTTGAGGTGTTCCTGGAGGAACATCCTCAGGAGAGAGAAGTTGGAAATGTTTGTGGTTATAAAAGAACCGGCAAAGCATCCTTCGCCTTTTTACCTTTGATTTATATATATATATTCGGGAAGGTGGAAAGGATCGATTGATGGCATCTGTGCTTCTCAAGAAAACCTAGGAAAGTCTTTGGACACACAACAGTAGTGATGACAAGGGAAGAGGAAATAAATAAAAAAAAAACAAACCAACACTCTGAAGGAAAAGTTTTGAACCAATGAAGAAAAAAAAAAAAAGTGAAGTCTATGAAGACTTTGCTGAATTAGCCTTAGAGGAAAAAAATGGCATTTATTATTCATGAGTTGGGTACTGAGATGATAAAAACCCTGGACTATTTATTAGAAACATGACCACTGTTGGCTATTGGAGATGCAGACCGTGTTTGAGAGACTTCCATACATAATATATGATTTCCTGGGGATCTGAAATCTATGGACTAAGAGAAACTGTGTATAGCTTACCTTAACAGTAATCCTTATTGATATTTATTGAACAGTCTGTTTTCCCTTAAGTCCAGTTTTTGGATATGCTGCTTTAACAATGGAGAAGAGAGGGGCTGGGATGTGGGGTGAGGGGAGGAAGGATTATTTTATTTTTTTACGTTTTTTTCCCCACTATCTAAAATTTACGAGTTTGGCGATGAGCGCATTCGTGATGATTTTTTTTTCTTTTTTTTTTTTGGAAGGGGGAGGAGGGAAGGAGTGAGGTCATGCCCAGTATTTCTCCAAGTGAAGATAAAACTTTCCTAAAGAAATAATAATATTATTAATAATAATAATAATAATAATAATAATAATAATAAAAGCCGAAATAAAAATCCATTCATCTAGAGACCGGTGCATTTTAATCTATGCTGCTCTAATTTGAAATAAAGGTCTTAAGCATTAACTCTATTTAGATGCAATATAACAACAACAGGTTATTTTGTCCATGGATTTCGGCGGGGTGAGGTTTTTGCTTTGCTGCTCTCAGTGCTGCCCAAGGTAGAACAAAACCCCGAGCCTGGGAGAGCTGTAGAAGGAGCCATCCCATTCCCATGTCCGTATTTAGCACACCAGGAGGTTGAAAGCCCGTGTGGGTTCCACAGAGCTGAAGGTTTTTAGCTGTTCAATGTTAGCACTACTCGTGTTTGGAGGTGTAGCTGCGACGGGGCGCGCTCGGCTCGGCGTGGAGCGTGTCAGTCCGCCTGTGGTGGGGTTTGCTTGGGGTTTTTTTTTGGTTGGGGTTTCTTCTCTGCCTCGCCTTGAACACCCACAGGCTGTGGGAGATGTGGGTGAAGGCTCTGGAGCTCCGTGGGGTGGGGTTTTTTTTTTTTGGGGGGCAGAACAACCCTTTCCCGAGAAAGACCTTGCATTTCAACAGTTGGGTTTTGTGTTGATTAAGTTAATCTGTGCGTTCTGTTTGCCATTGCTACTTTGTGTAAGTCTGTATATATTGTAGAAAATGTATGGTGGAAATATTAATACACTATCTCTAGTGTTTTTTAAATTTAATCAGTACAGTACCTGTGCCTGCATGGTGTTACAGACCATGCGTCGCCCTATATTCAGGGTTCAAGCTTTCCCTTGCTTGTTTAAGGGGTTTATGTATAAATATATTTTATGCCTTTTATTACAAGTCCTGTACTCATGACTTTTGCCATGGCATTTTGTTCTACTTATACTGTAAATTATGCATTATAAAGAGTTTCATTTAAAAAAAAAAAAAATTACTTGGTACAATAATTATTGTAATTAAGAGATGTAGCCTTTATTAAAATTTTATATTTTTCAAATTAATATTGTCTTGATGTTTTTTTCACCCTTAATGCCCTGAAAGGGGTTTTTTTCTCATCTGTAGTGGTAGCTGGACAGAGCTGGTGAGCTCCCTGCCTTGGCAGGGGCTGTTCCTGCTGGGAGGGAGGCAAGGCAAAGGCTGGAGCTGCTCTTTAGTGTGAGGATTAAACAATTTACAGCTCCTTCAGGTACCTCACCTGCAAATTTAACCTGGTCTGGCTTCCAGACTGCACGGCTGAGCTCACCTGATGGAGCCAGGGTGTGACATCCGCAGGGATGTGGTGGTCCCCGGGCTGGAGCTCCTGTCGTGGCACACGTGGTGGGCTTGGTGTTGGGATTTGGGGATGGTCACAGCCTTCCCCAGATGGGATTGAGCTGGGGCTGCTCTCCTGCATCCCATGCCAGAGCAAGCTCAGCTTTGTGAAGTTCAGGGCAATAGTCCCCAGCTCTGTAAAGCCCCAGCGCCCATGGCCACCTTGGCCGAGGTGAACTGGGGCGAGCTTTGTGGGGAGCTGCTGAGCAGGACAAACACAGGGAGCTCCTCCCCGTGCTCTCACCCGTATTTGTGGCACAAACCATATTTTATAGCTGAATGAGCTTAATTTGTTCCTCAGGGGAGCTGCCCATACCAGGGATGGATTTGTCTCCCAGCTGTCGCCCAGACCTTCCCCGGCTCGAGTGAGAAATGCGGGGAAGGCAATTGTGGAGCTGCTTTTGGTCTGTCCTGTTGGTAACCAGAGCCAGCCCTTTGCTTCTGCCTCACCAATGGCACTGACTAGGGCTTCTTTTTTTTTCTTCCTCCCCTCTCTCCACCCGATTTTTTCTATGAGGTTTTAAATTATCTGGGTTATTTTGTGTGTTTGAGAAGACTTCATTTAAAACATCAGTAAAACTTGTATCAAAGGGCTCAACTTCACACTGAGTACACAGAGCTGGGGACTGAATCCTGCAGTTCAAGGGAGCTGCAGGCAGTTTTACACATTTAAATGGATGGTGCCTTGTTTTAAAAAAACCATCTGAAGTTCATGGGGTTCATCTTAATTGATAAGCTGGACATAACGGATGGGTGTAGGGAGACTTCAACAACATAAGGGAAGAAAGATTTTTTTTTTTCCCCCTCTCTCTCTTTTTTTAGTCTACCATCAAAGGTTGGGAACTTAGCACTACATCGTAGTATTATTTTTCTTCTGCTATTAAAATGAATCACACTGTGCCTAATTCTTCTTGGGAAGATGAATGTGTTTGAGGCAGCTTGAAGCCATTCAGTGCCTCACAAGCCTTTGCATCTTTCTATCAATGTTCCAAAATACTCACCTCTGTTTTTTTGGATGTCTGTAGAAACAATATATAAAATGGCTTCAAATACATGGCAGGCTGTTTAGTGGAGATGAAAGGGTATTTGAATAGTCTTTTTAAAATGAATGAAAAGTGAATACTCTCTTCTGTTTCAATTATAAGTGGGACATGGAGCTCGTTAGACACCACCTTAATATGTGACACTCTGAAAAATGTTCACCTACCTTCAGCAGTTCAGAAATATTTTGTTTTTTAGCTTGTCTCGGGATAAAGATCGTGATTACAGGTCTGGCATGTTCCCTGCTAAATGGGGAGGCAGCGTGGGAAAGTTCTGCTCTTACAGCTTGAAAGTAACATCCAACCAAATTTTTTTTTTACACAGTACAGAAGATTGAGAGGGAGTAAGAACCTTATTTTGACCCAAGTGGGTTGTTTCTTTTTTTTCAAGTTTAGCTGAAGTTTATAATGTTTAACAAAAACTATGTAAATTCATGCAGAAAAAAGGGTGCCCACAGAGCTGCTTGTGGTGTCAAAATATCCTGTGCTGGGTCTTTTCAGAGCAGAGACCCAAAATGTTCCAGTTTGAGTCCTTTTACAGAGAAAGGACCCAAAATATCTTGTCATGGGTCCTTTCCCAGAGAAAGGATGCAAAATACCCCTGTTTGGGTCTTTTTCCAGGGGAGGGATCCAAAATATCCTGGCATGGATCCTTTTCCAGAGGATGGACCCAAAATGTCCTGGTTTGGGTCCTTCCAGAGGAAAGAGACCCAAAATGTCCCAGTTTGGGTCCTTTTCCAGAGGTAGGACCCAAAATGTCCAAAATGGGAGTCCTTTTCCAGAGGTAGGACCCAAAATGTCCTGATTTGGGTCTTTCCAGAGGAGAAGCATCAGTGACAAGATCTCTGCTCTGCAGGAGCAAACTTGAGCAGGGCTGGAGCACTGCAGCG